TTAATTTTTTTATTAAAAAACATTAGCTAACGTTTCTTTTAATTTTTTGTAGGTCGGAAAGTTGAATTTAGAAGTTTTGAAATGATGAGTTTTGTAGTGTTATAAAACTTGAATTTATTTTTTAATTTTTTTTATTGGAAACGTTTGCTAACGCTTTCTTTTTTTTTGTAGGTTTGGGATATTTGTTTCGTAAAGTAAGTATATTTATTTAGAAAAATTTTTTTTTATTAGAAAACGTTTACTAATGTTTCCTTTCTTCTTTGTAAGATCCGTTTCTAGGAATTTAGTAATTCAGAAAATGGTAAGTTTCGTATGTTTCATCACGAAACTTCCATTTTTTCTTTTTTTTCTTTAAGAAACATTCTAATTAACTGAATGTTTATTTTCTTTTTTGTAAGTCTTTTTTTAGGCGATTCTTGTGGATTTCTTTTACGTGTAGCATTTTGGTAATTTTACAATACTTTCTTTAAATTTTTTTATTTTAATGAAACGTTACTGATGTTCGTTATTTTCTTTTTTTTTTAGGCGACAGATCTTAGATTTGGTATGTTTATAATATCTTAGATTTCATATTTAACGAAACTTTACTTATTGTACATTTCGTTATTTTTTTCCTTTTTTTTAAGTGATCAGTTCTTTGAATAATTTCCCTCAACCCTTGATAATAATGGATGAATTCAAGGATATTCTCACGTAACAACCCAAAACTCAATCCAATTCAATAGTTTTTAGACATGTTAGATTTTGGTAAGTTTATAACATGAATTTTGTATTTTAACGAAACTTTACTTATGATTTCGTTATTTTGTTTCTTTTTTTAGGTGGCTAGTTGGAACCTCTTTACAGAATTTCATTTTCGGTGAACACATGGATTTTGAATTTCAGATTTCGGTAAGAGGAATTGGAATATTTCCTTTTTCAAATTTAATTTCTTTAATAAAATGTTCTCTAATGTTCATTTCTTTTGTTTAGACGGCTGTGAGAGTTACTTTTGATATGGGATTTATTTGCTCATCAGATCTCTTTGGATCTTTTTGGACGCGTAAGTTTTCTAATTTCAGTTTTCTCCCACATTTTATATAATTTAACGAACTGTTATTAATAGTTCTTTTTTTTCTTTCTTTTTAGGTGGTTAGTTTTTCAGTTTATTTGGACACTGATTTAGGTGAGTTTTTTCTTTGTTTTTCTTTAAATTGTTTTATAATGAAATGATTACTAAAGTTTCATTTTTTCTCTTTTAGACTCAAATCTAGACCTCAAAGTATCTGTGGATTATAATCAAAGAGAATTTTTATCAGAAGAGTTGATGGCAGGTGTGGTGTTAGTATGGTTTAAGCTTAACATTAATTACAATGAAATATTTATAGATTAATATTTACTTTTATAATACATTATTGTATATTATAATATTCTTAATAATAAATTGCATAATACATTTTATAATTAATATTTTAAATGTTAGTAAAGTGTTTTGACAATATTTTAAAAATATCATAAAATGGTTTTGAGAACATAATTATAATGCCGTTTTTTTATGATGTCTTAGTAAGCATTAGAAATGGGGTTTAACATGCTTTTTGGATTATTTTTTATTATATAAAATGTTTTTATGACATTATTAAAATACGAGTTTTAAGTATATTTAATGATATCATAAAAGCATTATATGATATCTTGAAAAAATTACCCTGTCCAGTAAAATACTTCAAATATATCTTGATATATTTTAAAAATTTTACAAAATAATTGCACAATTATTTTGAAAGCCATTGTATCTAGATCTATAAAAATATTTCAAAAAATTGGCTATTTTTAGTAAAGTTTCAAAATTAAAAAAAAAAGGAATGTAATTATAAAAAAAAAGATATATGCTGTAACTATAAAAAAAGTTTTTTTAATATATTTATCAATAGTGTATTAAGCTAAAATATGATATATTTATAAAGAGAAATTTTATACAATACAATATAAAGAATGACTAATTATATAAAGAATTGATTGTAATAATAAAATTGATATAATTAATATTGTAAAAATTAATAAAACTTTAATACACTTTTTTATATATTATAAAATATTTTTTTTTTATTATAAATTCTCTTTTTTTTCAAGATTTTGTAAAAAGTTTATACTTTAAATATAAGTCAAAAAAAAACAACCTTATTAATTTTCAAAATTAAAAAATATTAAATGGTTTTTAAGTAATAACTCCGTCAATATTGATTATAGAGAGATGAGCTTACCACCATTCGATTCGTCTCGATGAGGCGATTCCAACGAGCTATAAATCGTCTTTTTACAATCACTAAGTACCGAGAAATCTAGCAAAATGTTAAATGGCGCAGTAAACGTAAATCAAGAAATATTATAATGCCGATGCTTAACATTTTGTTGAATAACTCGTCAGCCAGTGATCGGAAAAGGATAAAACTACCACCATTCGATTCGTCTCAGTGAGACGATTCTAACAAGCTATGATACATCTTTGTACGATTATTAGATGCCAAGTTATTTAATATATTCTTTATATAACTGTGATTATAAACGGTTCTTTTTAATATAAGATTTTTGAGGATAGGTGTGATAGTGACTATAGATAGATTGTGACTATATAGGATAGATTTTAATAATAAAGTGTTTTGAACATTCAACTGGTGTGACTATATAGTAGAATGTGACTATAACGGGTGTGACTATAGAGGGAGTTGACTGTATTACATTAATTTTTATTTCAAATTTTTACAAATTATTTTTTAAAAATTCAATGATTAAAAAATAATTTTTTCTTAAACTTATTAGAAGAAATAATTTTAAATAATATTTATTGAGCCTTAAAATACTTTTATAAATATTTATTGCCCTTAAGGCTATATAAATTTTTATTTTCACTTTATATTTTATTAAAATATACTCACTTGCTAATAGTATATATTAAAAATACTATATAAATAAGAAATAAATTTTCTGTTAGTAAAATAAGTTTTTTTTACATTTTTTTTATATTCAATAATTTAAGTTTTGCAAATATAGATTTTTACTCAAATCGTCTATTTATAGATAATTTTTTGGTATTACAGAATAATTTTAGGCAACAAAAATTGTAAAAATTATTTAATAAATCCCTTTTATTTAAAGGATAAAATTACAAATTCAAATAAAATTTTCTTAAATATATATAAATGCAAATATTGTAAACTAAAGTTACTAGAAAAACTAAAGGATTTTGGCAAGTTGGCAAAATGTTAAAATAGTAAAACTTTACTAAAAGTCCAAAACTATATAAAAGTTTTATGCAAAACTTTGGAAAAAAACAAACTTTGGCAAATTTTATTATAAATACTGAAATTGCCAAAATTTTACTAAAATCATAATAAAACTATAGTAAAATTTTAATTGTAAAATTTTGGAGAGGTTTAGACAAGTAATTTTAATGTAAAACTAAAAAAAATAATAATGTAAAAGAACCTTTCAATTAGAATTACAAATCATAATCTTTATCATAGAATAATAAAAAGAAAAAAAATCACAGAATTTTCAAGTAAAAACTTTATTAATAAAATTAAAAGAAATGCTAAAAAAGTTAACAGATAGAATATAAAATATTAGAAGATTGCCAGTTTAATTTATTTGAAAAGTCAACTTTTTTTTATTGATTTTAATTGTTTTAATTTATTTGTTAATGTATTTTGCATTTTATATAAAATTATAATATCTGCAATGCTTCTTTTAATTTAATTAAAGTATAAAAACATTTATAATGGCTATTCCATCTAGTATTATTGCCATAACAATTTGAATATATTTTTTATATGTTTTTTTTGTAAATTTTAAAGTTAGCCAATGAAATATTTATTATTTGATAATCTAAAATAAAATGCAATTTTATTGTTTTTATTAAGGGGAGTGACACATATTACGTCATATTCATTTTACTATGAATTCTACCTTCCTCCCCCCCTTGTCAGATTTAATAACCAATTAAATTTAATTATACAATTTATATTAATAGAATAAGTATAACATTAGATTTTAATTATCCTCCTCCCCCTCTCTAATAATTACGTCATATGTAGGATTGGTGAATGTTACATTACATAGTTACATTACACATAAATTACATTGTAAGTTATATGATCTTTGTGTAAGTTTACACATATAATTGGGCCAGAGTTATGACTTTTTGACCAGCATTACAATAATTTATCTAATTTCGGCTTAAATTACTATTAATTCTTTAATTTTTATTAACGAACAAATTTTTTATTTTCTTAGTTTATTTACTTTTTATTTTAATTGTACTAAATTTTATTATGGATAAACAATATGAATTAATACTCATTTATCTTTATTAATAAAAATTAATAAAACTAAATAAAATACATTTATTCTTCTTCAATTTCTTCAGATAAATCTTGTTCTAAATACATTTCATTTAATTCTTCAAAATCATCTAGTATTTCGATATTATTTTCTATTTCTTTCTCTTCTGAATTCTCAATTGTTACTCCATTTTTAACTAACTCTTTAATTGTTAATGGAACATTTAGTTCTCTTAAAATCCGAAGATTCCAATATATATACACTAATTTTTCTGCGCAATCATTTATTAATCTATTTCACAATTTTGAATGAATAAATTTATATGCTGACCAATTTCTCTTGCTCGCTGCAGATATTGCGGGAATAGAAAGCAATTTTAATGCTATTGAACTAAGCAATGGATATCTTTTTTCTAACAAATGCCACCAATTAATTGGTTTATTTTTTATATTGCCCCATAAATAAGATTTAGAAAAACCACTACATTTTCCAATAAATTCACTATATTCTTCTAAAACTAAATTTTGATTTTCCTCACCTGCTAATCTTATCAGTTCTTCTTCAATAATGTCATCTTAATACTGGTTATTTAATAATTTTCCATTGTACCTCGGATCTAATCTGTATGCAACAAGAACTGCAGGATTATATAAAAATTTATTTCAACGATATTCAGCTTTTTAAATTGCATATACACTAAAATCATTAGGAATTTTGGTATTATTTTTGATTTGAATTTCAATTTTACGCAAGTTAATAAATGCAGTAGAAAGATATGGGTCATCTTGTTCAAGCTGTTGAATAAAAATAATAAATGGCAACAAAAAATCTTGCAAATCTTTAAGATTAGTCCAAAAGATATCGTCTAAAATCTTAATTTTTATTTCACGATCTAAAGCTATATCTTCCCCTAATAAAGCCATCATTGCCATTTTAGATTTGAAAATACTATCTAAACACTGATATGCTGATAACCACCTTGTTTCAACTGGTAAACTAAGGCCAATTTCCTTCCCATATTTATCCTTTTGAATCCTACGAAGTGCTGCAAGTGGAACTTGATGATTACGAAAATATAAACTTAGTTTTTTTGCCATATTTAAAATTTCATTAGCCCAATTATGCTTTATAATATCTTTTACCCAAAGATTTATACCATGCGCCTAACATCCTAAAAATATTTTATTAGGGTATTTTTCTTTTAAAATTCTCCAAGCAGCTTTCATGTTATTTGCATTGTCAGTGATAACAGCAACAAACTTATTAATTCCAGCTTCTATCATAACATCCTCAATACCTTTAGCTATATTCTCTGCATTATGACTTTGTTTTTTAGTATTCACTGATTTATAAAATATTGGTTTTGGTGTGGTAATCATATAATTAATTAATGGTTCTTTATTAATATTTAACCAACCATCACTTGTTAAACAAAAATATGGTGGTTCGTTCAAAACATTTTTTGTTGCAGCTCTTATATTTTTGTAATCATTATTCAATAAATTTACAGATAATAATTACTGTGTAGGAATCTTGAATGATGGACATGCTTTTTTTAAAAAAATTTGAAAGTTTTCATTATCAATAGTATTGAAAGGAATTCCAGTACTATAAAATGCACGATCTAACAAAAATTCTAATTCTTGTTGGTCTTCATTACTAATACTTTGCATATAATTATTGATTTTTGTTTGTTTTCATTTTTTAATATTAGTTGAATCTGAAGAAATTGGTAAATTAAATTCTTGAAAAGCTAATCTTGCTGAACAAGTACTTTACAGAAACCTTGAATTTTTAAACAATACCGAATTGATATAATAATGATGTTAAATAAATATCGTGGCGATATCGATTTGCAAATGATATCATTATGATATTGCAATAATATCATTTCAATATTAATTCAATATATCGAAATGATATCGTAAAGATATTTGTTTGAAAAAATATCAGATCGATATCATTTCGATATTGTTATAACAACAATGAATTTTTTGAAAAATGGAAAGTAAATACGATATTAATATGATATCGTTCCAACATTAATTCAATATCAATATGATATCGTAAAGATATCACTTTATAATTATCTAATCGACAT